TCGGAGGTAGGGACGTGGGGCTGGCAGGCAGCCCTGGGGTCACACTTTTTGAGGAGGCAACCAGAGAGCTGACAGGACACCCACAGTGCCAGAAAAATAACACAGACACCCCCGGCCCCCCCCACATTTCTTTTCTCTTTTTCTGGCAGCAGGGAGCAGAAACAACAGCAGTTTCTGTGGCTAGTCACCAAGATCTCCAAGCAACAGACAGGGTCAAAGGGAGCTGAGCAGCGTTGAAGATGAACCGTGTGCTGGCTGGATGAACTTCGGGTGGAAGAACTCCAAACAAGCAATAAATTAAAGAAAAGTCAGAGTCTGGGCCCTCCAAAAATATATCCCTCCAGTGAAGGCACAAGGAGCAGAGACCTTCAGCACATGCTGTATTCAATAGCCCACCTCTGCAATACATGACAGGGGAAGCAGGGGTTTCCTTATTACATACACTGAAAAAAATCTCCTGGTATTTTGCTCCTGGAAGACACCCAAAAAATGTCTCAGCAGTAGCTCTCATAGCTTGCTGGAGTCAAAGGCACAACTTCCCCATCATTAGCGTGCCCCTTTCCCCCATTCCCACCCATGACTCACTGCCGTAAACATCCAGTTAAATGGCATTTCCTTCAGCAGCTTTGCAGAAGGGCACTTTCTTAAGGAGGGTTTGGAGGGAGGATAGATTGCCCTCCTGTGGTATTCAAGGCAGTTTGGGCTGGAGGAGAAAGTGCCTCTGGCTCCTGAAACTCAAATGGCTCCTTTGCGCCCCTCTGGTTTGGAGCCTGGGGTGTCTGCTCAGCTCTCCTGCCAGAACAGGGACGTCCACGTTTCCGAGGACACGGCTCTCTCCCCCATTAAACACAGCTTAAATACACTTACTAAGTCAAGCTTTTGCGCTTAGTACAGCGATGGATGAGGGTCTGCTGCCCAGGCCACTAAGGGCAGAGCTGAGGAGCATTGGAGGCTTTGCTCTGGCACAAAGAAAACCCCGAAGAGCCTCTGGGTGTTTTCTCCAAGAGCCTCTGGGAAGGGCCCTTCAGCACCAGGAGAGGCCACTTTGGGATGGGAAGAGATGGAGCTTCCAGGCCTGGGAGGTAAATACTTCCCTAGCATGCGCTGGACAGAGGCCCAGCAACTCATGACACATTGGTGACAAGGTACCATGGGTGGCCACAGATGAAAGGAAGGGAATACCCTGCTATCTGCACCCCTTGGCCCTGCACAGCCGACCACGCGATATCTGCTGGTGGTTCGGGGTGAGCCAGTCCTGCCTGGGGCTCAATGTGGCTCAGAAGGTCTCCGAAGGATCCCTCCAGCCCGCTCTCAAGGGACCCAGCTGGACAAACATTGCCTGTAGCCACCTTCACTATGACCATAGCAGTGACCTGGAGATAAGAGGGATGTAGTTGAGGGTCAGCGCAAGCAAACCCCCATCATCAAACAGAGGAAAGATACTAAGTTTGTAATGAGGAGGAGACCAAAGTCTACAGAAAGGCCAAAAGCGTCTCTAAACTGGCTTCATCTAAGGACCTACAGATATTGATGGGGAGCAGAGGTCGGAGAGAACAAGATCCCAACACTAGAGGAAGCTACTGTGTTTGGCAGCCGATAGGAGAGTTTTCTTTCAAAGGAGGCAGGCTGGCCTCGAGGACAAGGCCACCAGGGAGCAGGTTAAGCTACTGCCCCGTGGTGATGTTGTCAAGCCACTTCCTCACTCGGTGCCCTTTTTTCCCAGCTGCACAGGAGAGAAGATACCCTTCGTGAGGCATTTGGAGAGGTAAGGATGAAAAGTGCACCCACGTCCCTGGATGTTATTACAAAACGACACAAAAGCACCTTACAGAGAATGTAAAGGTCAACGGACCTTTTGTCCACGGGTTGGAGGCACCAGCTGTGCATTCGGCTGGGCCGAGCTCGGCCGAGCTCTAATCTCTGGCCGCTCTCGCTCTTTCGAGATCATTCCTTGATGCACAAGCGCATAAAGCTTAAGCTGGTGCTCCAAAGGAAAGCGCTCGGCAGACCACAAAACAAAATTGCTGTGGCTTTGGGTGTTGCAACGAAGCTCGTTCCACGACCGCCGGCGTCCGGAGAGCATTTTTTCCACCATTTAGGAGGAAGGCTGCAAAACGCTTCTGCATCCAGCTTGGCTTTAAAAATACACGTTTGTCTGCACACCGGTGGGCTCCGGGCATAGATCTAGAAAACACATCCCAAGCGACAGAGGGAAGGATTAGGGTCCTCTAACCCCCAAAAGACCAAAGAGAGGCACGGCCGCCACGGGCGGCTGGAGGGGAGACGAAGGGGCTGGAGGCGACGAGGGCTGAAACGAAGCGGAAGGACGGCTGCAAGCTGCCGGCGTCGCAGCCTTAACGATGCCTCCTGGCAACCCCCTTCCGCCCCGACGCGGAGG